TCGAGCATTGGACGTTTTTGGCTTAAATCAGAGGTTTGAGTTTTGTATCATATTTAATTTTATCGTGTTTTGTGTTTTTCTGCGGGTGTCACTGGATGTCAACAGTAGGTCTTAGGTGGGATATATTTGGGATGTGTGCTAATTTGGGTTCATAGTCTCGCCATGTCCTGGCTCTACCTGAGAGTGGTGTTGTTTTTGTGATATTGTATCCGGTGTGCGGGCGCCGGGTGGGCTCCGCCATGTAATGCTAAGTTCTACTCTGGAGGACAGGGCGGTGGATTGCTTGAGCCGTCATGTGTCGTGTTGCAGCAAGGAGCAGACCTCGCCTCTCTACATAATAAAAAAAGAATATTGTGGTGAATTACATAGATGTGTGTGTCGATGGGTGGTGACATGCCTGTAGTGCCAGTTACTAGGGGAGGCTGAGGCAGCGAGGCATCACGTTGAGCCAGTAGTTTGAGGTTGCTGGGTGACGGCTAGGCTGGATGCCCACGGCACTCGACTCGTAGCTTGCACAGAAAGTGAGACTCTGTCTCAAGACAAGAGAAAAAAAAAAAATGTATCCAGATATTGCGCAGATAGTCCCACAGGACACAAATCTTTCTTTCTTTCTCTCTCCACCACCACACATTTAAGAATCACTATATTCACCAGTCTAATAATGGTAAACGGGAAAAAAATAAATAAAAAAATAAAAGAATCACTATTCTGGCCAAGCGCGGTGGCTCACACCTGTAATCCTATCACTCTGGGAAGCCGAGGTGGGCGGATCACTCAAGGTCAGGAGTTCGAGACCAGCCTGAGCAGAGGCGAGACCCCGTCTCTACTAAACATAGAAAGAAATTAATTGGTCAACTAAAAACATATAGAAAAAATTAGCCGGGCATGGTGGCAAATGCCTGTAGTCCCAGCTACTCGGGAGGCTGAGGCAGGAGGATCACTTGAGCCCAGGAGTTTGAGGTTGCTGTGAGCTAGGCTGATGCCACGGCACTCTACCCCAGGGCAACAGAGTGAGACTGTGTCTCAAAAAAAAAAAAAAATCATTATTCTGTAGGAAAGAGGCTGTATAAAATAATCTTTTTCCTAAATTAGTTGTGCATTTAAAATAGATTCTGAGATTTTATTTTTTTAATTAAATACTTTTTTTTTTGGTTTTGCCTAACACATCATCTTTCGGCTTTGTGGATCCTGAGATTTTTTTTTTTTTTTTTTGAGACAGAGTCTCGCTTTCTTGCCTAGGCTAGAGTGGAGTGCCATGGCGTCAGCTAGCTCAGCAGCAACCTCAAACTCCTGGGCTCAAGCCATCCTCCTGCCTCAGCCTCCCGAGTAGGGACTACAGCACGAGCACCATGCCGGCTGATTTTTTTATATTATATATATTAGTTGGCAATTAATTCTTTCTATTTTATGGTAGAGACGGGTCCGCTCAGGCCTGGTTGTAACTTGGCCAATTAATTTCTTTCTATTTATAGTAGAGACGGGGTCTCGCTCTTGCTCAGGCTGGTTTTGAACTCCTGACCTCAAGCAATCCGCCTGCCTCAGCCTCCCAGAGAGCTAGGATTACAGGCGTGAGCCACCGCGCCCAGCCAAAAGCCCAATTTTTGAAAACTCTAGTTTAGACAGCATAGGGTGTGTGCTTATGTATGCTCCTAAAAACT